GCCTCCTAAATTTGTCTCTCATTACTTCATCTTTTCCTACAAAACCTTCTCTTAAAGTTTAGCTATCCTAAGTAGAGAGTGCAATTACCATCTAGCTATCACATTTCTTATTAATCCCTGATTATAAATAAATATGTGAAGTTATCCTGGGGCAGGGCGTAGAAGGGGATAGAGAGGAGAAAATTTAAAAAAAAAGGACACCAGTAGACAAAAAGAAGAAGATACTCCAGAAAGCTTGCATCTCAGTGTCACCAGGATTTCAAAGAATGCTTCACCAGCAGTAGTGAAAATAAAAATCAGCCAGTTTTCTAAATCAAGAGCGAATCAACTTAGGTGCTCCTTTCACACAGCTCAAAGTAAGCTTTATATTGAGTTGAAGGCTGGAAGAGAGAACCAGAGATCGTTTTCCTTCTGAAAGCTGTTCACTTTTCTGCCTTGCATAAACTAGACTGAGCAGAGAGAGTTCTTTGCACTGGATGGTTCAAGATGTGGGCTTGAGTTCCAAGCACTCACTTAATAAGTGTTCATGTAACCACTCAGCCCTCTTACTGTTAAATCTTCCAGTAAGAACCTTGCTATGTGAAAAGTGCCTGTCTCCTTGAAAAACCATTAGGCAATTACATTGCAAAGTCATGAAAAAGTACTTCCTCTAAAACTTATGAAGAAATCAGACACCTGCACGTACAATGTAGTCTTAAAAGCAGAATGACAGGCTTACAAGGTCAGTGGTTTTCCTTTTGACAGATGTTATCCAGGCAGGATTCTGGCTCCTAGAGAGTGCAGAAAGAGGAGAAAGACTAAAAGAAACAGAAAATGGCAATGGGCAGCAAAGATCAACGAAGTGAAAAATAATTCTAAACAAAATATAGAAGAGTTATGAGGGATGGGAAGCATATGGTGGCAAAATTTAGTTATCCCTTTAAAGAGGAATCTAATGTTACCCTGCCTCCGGGGTTTGTCTGCACCACTATGCACCCCACGGAACTCTTGGATTGCCCTCACTTTTACTTCACTCTGAATATATTAGTTAAAAATACACTTTTGATACAAAGATAATGGAGAAAATGGCAATTTATTCTGCATGTTAAGAGTAAGGGACCACTGGTACTGTTCTCCAGCAGGAGAAAACACAGCATACAGCAAGGACAAAACCTATTTAATACATGTACATAAAGTATTGGAGTCTTCAAGACACTGAAATGATGAAATAAGAACAAATTCTGGACACCAGTTATTATTCCCATATGGTTACTGAGCAATTTATTACTGCAGATAGACATCTGAAACTGTCTGCCACAGCTGAGTCTCACTTCTGTTACCACTTCACATATCATTCACTTCACTGACCCTTACATCCTATGTAAGAGTTTTAGCTCGAGAAAACCTAATTAATTTACTATGCATAAAATGCCCCACAGACTCCCGTGATGTTCCAGTCATACAAATCCATTCCTGTTGGACTGATCCTTCAAGAAACTGGCAATAGTTAACACAGGCATATGTCAAGACTCGAGGAGGACCAAACTAACTGCACCAAAGAGAAAGTCTAAGCAAGGAATGGAGGCAGAATTAGCACAGATGTTTTTGCAGCAAAAATTAGTGGTCATCTCTAAGACAGATTCCAGAGGAGGCCACCAAGTTAATTGGTCAGATGGAGCAGCTCTGCTGTGAGGAAAGGCTGAGAGAATTGGGATTGTTCATCCTGGAGAAGAGAAGGCTTTGGGGTGACCTAATTGTGGCCTTCCAGTACCTGAAGGGAGCCCAGAGGAAAGATGGAGAGACTCTTTACAAGGATCTGGAGTGACGGGACAAGGGGGAAAGGCTTCAAACTGACAGAGAGAAGGTTTAGATCAGAGATCAGGAAGCAATTCTTTGCTGTGAGGATGGTGAGGCCCTGGCACAGGCTGTCCAGAGAAGTTGTGGCTGCCCCATCCCTGGAAGACTTCAGGGCCAGGTTGGATGGAGCTCTGAACAACCTGGGATAGTGAGAGGTGTCCCCTACCCATGGGGTGGAACTAAATGATCCTAATGTTCCCTTCCAATCCAGGCCATTCTAGGATTTTATGAAATTATGATAGGAAGTGCCACACTGCAAAAAGTGTAAGATCTCCAACAGTGAAGAAATATTCTGGGAACAAGGCTTGTACATGATTATCAATGTTAATCTAGTCCAGGAGTGTGGGCATATCTATCTTTTCTACCTGTGAAGTTTTCCTTATTTTCTTTCCTACATTTCTCTACCCTTGACTAATTTCCGATTCAGCAGGTCATTCTGTACCACTGAATATTTAAAATTTCTTTCAGAATCAGAAACCAAATTCTAATATTGTATATATCTATATCTGTTTATACACACACACACACACACACACACACACATCATTCACACAGGTGTAGAGGATGTAACCCTGGCAGAATTGCTTCCAACTGTTGGGATATAACACTCTTTTCCCCACCAGATGGCAGTAACTTCAACTTTATATAACCCGGACTGGTCACCACATGCACAGCAAACAATGGCAAACTTTACGTTTGGGATTTTCCATAAGAAGGAATGCTGATTTTTTTTTTAACATGTACAGTAGAGTTATTCCAGTTTCCTCCTATTTAATGGCAAAGTGTTCTACTAATAGCTAAGCTCAACTTTGATCAGTATATCCTACAAGAAATTTTTTTTTTTTACACATATAATTCCATATTTTTTTTCCAGTATGCTGTAATTTTGTCAAATTGGAGAAGTACAAGTATTATTTCCAATCGTTGCCTTGTTCCAAGAAAAATTCCCAAACAGAAATATCTGGGTAACTTTCAAATGCATAATAAACAAACTTTTACAATATATACTAATGAATAAAAAGACTAAAGGATGCCAAAGAAGGAGGGGAAATGATAAATACCTTTTGCATATTTTTTTTACAAAATAATTCAATGTACAGATTTCTTGACTTATAAAAGCTCAGGGTTAAATCTACACCAAAAATATTGCAGCCAGTACATACTATTTTACACACCAACAAAACTCGCTTTAATATGAGAGCTGACAATTTTTTCTACTGGCAAAACCAGGAAAGTTTTTGTCAACATAGTCCAGGCACAATAAAAATAATGTAATTTGGTGTATGGGGACTATTCTGTAGGATATCCAGTTCTAGGAACAACTCATCCATTTGTCCTTTTGTAACCAAAAGATCGTTGTTCCCTTTTTATTTCTTTTATGTCTAATTTTTCAGAAGAAAAAGTCCTATATTACAAAAAGAGAACTTCCCTCCTATTCAACTTATATTAGTGTTCAGACTGATTAACTGGGTTTATATTAAGCTCTATTCTGACTGCAAATATAATATCAAAAGTGCACAGTCTTATTAATAAAACATACTCATTCACCAATAAATTTATGACCAAATATGCAGTCTGTTTGGACAGCTGGCTTCCACCATCCTACAAGCAGGGATTCAGATCCCTTTTTTTTCTCCCCATGCTTGTTGGTTTGGATTTTTTTTTTCAACAGAAAGTAGAGCAAAACTTTCTCTGGATACACAAAAAAAAAAAAAAAAAAAAAAAAAAAAAAAAAAAAAAAAAAAAAAAGAAAAAAAGAAAAAAAAAAACA